AGAAGTGGATTATAACAAAGTGGGGATGAAATGGGGGGGGAAGAACAATAGCACGGCACAGAGTGGGGGTAGAGGGCACAGCATGTAGCCTGGCACAGAGTAAGCACTCAGTAAGTACTGGTGAGCAGAGATGAACATGGACCTGGCTGGATGGGTTGGCGTCCTGGGCCCTGGGCTGGGTGCCAACAGACATCTACCTGGGTCCCCAGCACTGGTCCAGCAGGTCGTTGAGCAAGCTGAGCCACCCGCCCCTACATGGATGGGGTCCCGGGTGGCTGTTCCCTGGCAGGGATGGGAGAGGGCATGGCCCTCCTCCTGCCTCTCTGCCCAGGTCCCTGGAGAGGAGGCTGCCCACCGTGGCAGGCAGACTCTGCCGTTCACTTTCCTCGTCTCACAGAGCACTCATATTTTCCATGTGCAGCAGACCGTGAATTCACCTTCATACTAGTTACAGGGTTATTTAGCTTCTCCTGACACTGACAATCACCAAACTTTAATTCGCTGCTTGGCTTCTCCCTGCTGTGCCCTCTGCCCACCCCCAAAATCCCTGGGAGAGGGTGGGAAGGATCTAGTCCGGCCCCCTGTTGCCAGAGCCTGCCCTTCCGAGTGATGGAGTGACAGCGGGAGGGGGTGCTCAGAAGAAGATGATGGGCAGAGAGTGGGGGCGGAGAGTAGGGGGGAAACAGTGCGGGAGAGAGGAAGTAGCACCAGGGCTAAGGGGAGCTTCCGTCCTGCTCCTCCGGCCTGACACTAATGTATTCAACGCGGCATCCATCCTATTGTGAATGAAGATTCGGCTGACCGGGCTTTGGGTCTGAGGGCTGGGAGCCCCAGCCAGGACCTTCAAGGCCGGGGCTCACTGAGCTCCCAGGACCGGGCGGCTGGAATGGACTGGCTCGTTTGCCTGATTGCTGGATGAGGAGGTGCCCGCCCGGGAACCCAGGAGGGAGCCCGTTTTTACTAACCCGAGAAGCCAGCTTTCGTTTTCCTCTGCCTCCCCCATGCCAGGTCCTCCATGGGGCTAAGCCTGCCTGCCTTGCAGAAGCTTCTCTCTGGCTTACTACTCCGCTGCCTACATCCCCTCTCTCGGCCTCCCGAAGTGGTCACCAGTATCTTTCCTCAAAGCCCCTGAGACAAGCGAAGGAGTGCCAGTTTGATCTGAAAACCCTCTGGTGGGACCAGAGGATTCCCTTATTCCCCAAATCCAAGCTGGTTCCATCAGCCACTCATTAGTCAGAGTCCCAGGAGCAGAGAGCCAAGCCGAGAGGATTCTCTAAGACCAGAGCCTGGGGAAGGACCTGGGCTAGGAGGCTCCGAGGAGAAGGAGAGGGACAGCAGGGCTGAGCCAGGAGGAGGGGAGGTACTGGGAGATCGATCCCTGGGGGGTGGGGGGGACCAGGCTGTGTCTGCTTCCACCCAACCTCATTCCGCCGCCCCACCCCTGCCCGCGGGGGAAGTGGCCATGGTGGCCGGGGCAAGAGAGATGTCACCGGGCCAATGGCAGAGAAGGGAGAAGGAGCTTGTTGACTGTAAACTGTCCATTATGGCTCAGATTATAAGCATATTGCGCAGGGCTCTCTGCACGATGCCGAGGAATCCAATACGCTGAAAGGTTAATGCAATCAATTAGGGTGACAAGGAAGTAAAGTAAAGCCTTCGGAGTAGATGAAAAGGAGAGAGAGAGAGAGCGTGTGCGCGCGCTGTGGAGTTGGGGGTGACAGTATGGGTAGTGGGAAGGCCAGGAGGGAGAGAAACCAGCGGGATGCTGGCAGAGGGAAAGCGATGGACAAAAGACCGGGAGCCCAAGAAAAGAGGGCAGTGAGAGAGCCGGCAGCAGAAGCAGCAAGAATAGGCAGCCAGTGGACAAGCTCTGGCCTCAAACCTCCGACTGCCGCCCAGCTTCACCTTCCCTCTTTCACCCTCCTTCACCACCCCCTCCCCCGGCCCCTTCTCCACGAGCTGCTCCCTTAGGGCTTGGAGCCAGGCTCCCAGATCAGCTCACAGCACCAGTAACGTGTCAGAGCAGCCTTGGTCCCTGCCCCTGTGCGCAACAAGGACCCACCACACAACTTCCGGCGCCTTCTCAAATGGAACTATGGCCTCGTTGCCACCTTCTCCAGAATGGGCCCATGTTCAAATGCAGACTCTCCCCTTGGCCTGCTTCACTCCCAGCAGCACCCATGAACACAACCTTCACGGCTCTCCCCTGAGTACCTAGTTCCTCCTTGCAACAGCCTGGGAAGCAAAGAACATGGTGCAGGGCGCCCTTTACAGAGAGAAAGACAGGTGCTCAGAAAAGTTGTGTGGTTTCCCAGAGCCTGCCGCAGCGGAGAACCCTGCAGGGGAGGGCACAGAGGACCCCGCACTGACCTGGGAACCCCAATGCCACTCAGCCTGCCACCCGCGGGGCTTTTCTTTCCAGGGCACCCACTGGAGTGAGGAGACTCATCTTCCCCAAGAAGTCAGCCTCACAAGTCCTTGGGCAGGGGTGGAGAACCCCTGAGAACCTGTCCGGGGATGGCGAGGGCTCTGGGAGGTGAAAAGCTACGGGGAAAGGAGGGAATGTGAGCTCTTCCTACTGGTCAGGCCCCAGGCCAAACACCTTTGACCACGTGAACTCACTCATCCCCGTAATTTTGTCTGCAAAAGTAGTTGTTTTGGGGGGCGCCTGGGTGGCTCCGTGGGTTAAGCATCTGAGTCTCGATTTCGGTTCAGGCCATCCTCTTAGCATCCTGAGATCCAGTCCCGCATCAGGCTCTGCGTTGAGTGCAGAGTCTGCCTGAGGTTCTCTCCCTCTCCTCCTCCCCCCAACCACAGGCACACTCTCTCAAATAAATATACAAATCTCAAAAAAAAAAAAAGTAGCTATTCTGCTCACTTTACAGAAGAGGAAACTGGACGTGAGAGCTTAGTAAAGACAGAAGGCTACGCTGGGCTCCTGGAATGGGATGCCCAGCTCTCAGGAAATGGTGGCTGTCAAAGGAAAGGCAAACCTGGACTTGTAGGTGGGTGGGACTGAGCAGAGGACGAGGCCCTGAGGAGGGTAGAGAGGGAGGGCAGCCCCTAGTAGACCAGGTCTGCCAAGTAGCCCGCAGCCCCCAGGAGGGGCTCCCACACCACTGCTGGAACCCCTCGGAGCAACCCCATGGAAGACAAGAGCACAGGGCGGGTGAGAGGCAATACTGTGGACTTAATGCCAGGAGACTCTAGACTTAAAAATGGTTACTGTGGTAATTTTCACTTTAGGTATATTTTGCCAGTTTGAAAAAAAAAAAAGAGCAGAGGTCAAGAGACAGCAATCTTTTCCCATAAAGGCTTAGAAAGTATTTACACTTTGGGGCCAAACCTTCTCTCCTAGCTGCTCAGTTCTGCCACTGTGCAGGAAGCTGCAGCCACGCCCCACATGCAAACGAGTGGGCGTGGCTATGTGCCAATAAAATTTTATTTACAAAAACAGGCCTTGGGCCTCCAGAGAACAGAAGCACCTAAGGCTCATTTTCAAGATCCAGGATGCTGTCCCGCTGCCTGGGGACAGGAGTATCCGATCTGGACCTTGCCCAGAGTGGAGGGAAGGGCTGGGCAGAGGCCTCAGGTGGAAGTCAGGCTCTCATGATCAGCAGAGGATAGATTAAAAGAAGAGAAAGAACAGGTGCTGACAGGGGGAACCCCATGTCCCCGAAACGGGTCTGGCACCCAGCCTGCCGAGAAGCCCTTCACCTGGCTTCGGATCGCCATGGATGATATGCAGGGGCAGGCGGTGGTGACTTGGAGCTCTCTCTCTACGTTCTAGGAGTCTCGACACAAGAGAGGCATTACGCTATGGCAAAGAAGGGATGGGAGTGGGCAGCGGAGGGCCAGGCTGGCCAGAGGGGACGCCAGGGGAGAGGAAGGCGAGGGCTGTAACCAGGGTGGAGCTGGCGGCAAAGGGAGGAATCTATGGGCCCCAGTGAGAGCGCAGGGCGCGGGCCGGGCCTGCCCTACACCGGCCGCCTCTGATCACGTTTTCAGGGCCACTGCCCGCAGGCACAGACAATGCTGGGGGAGCCTTTGAAGTCCGAAAGGGATGCCGCGGTGGGAGCCGCACGAATCTCCTCCCTTCCCCCCATCCTCCCGGGGGAGGGGGCCAGCAGGACAAAACCCGGAGCCGGTCACAGCCAGGCCCGAAATGCGGGAGACAAAGGGAAAACAAACAGGTTTGGAGCCAGGCGCACGGTGCCCTGTCTGTCCCCCGCCCCGCCAAGCCAGGATGATGGATGGCTGCAGCCAGCCAGCTCGCCCGCCGGGCGGGTCCCGCTATTTACATAACACTGGCGTTCCACCGGTCACCTCTGACACTGCGCTGCCTGGGGCCGAGGCCCGGTGGCCCCCGAGGTTCCTTGAGCCACTGGCGAGCAGGGGGAGGGACTGAGACAGCCTGTGAAGGCCCAGCCAGACGGGGGAAGCCCTGGGTCTGGGAAGGGCAGGTCAGCAGCCAGATCTGGGCTCAGGATCTACAGCTTCCTCCCTACCAGCCACTCATGGGGAGGGGAGGAGGCCACCGAGGACCTGCAGCTTCAAGGAGAGAGGCAGGGCTGGAGTTCTAGGGCTTTCAAGTCCACGAGGCTCCCCAAGAGCTAGAAGCAGAGCTTCTAGAGAGAGCCGGCAGAGGCTGCCACAGTGGGCAGACGGCGCTGTGCAGAACCGGGGCTGGCATCGACAGGCGGCCGAACCCCGGCACCAGGGAGGCTTCTGTGCCACACCACCTCGAACGCATTCCATGCCCACAGTCCACTAGCCAGGTGCCCCCGGCCCATTTCCTGCCTAAGAGCCAATCTGACATGTTCCTACGGGGCCATCGTTTCTGGCCAGGTTCAAATGGGCAGTGTGGCTCTGATCCCGTCTCCATCTTCCCAGTCCCCCCTGGGTGCTCCGCATGACAGGACCCAGCCCTGAGTGACTCCAGCACCGGCTCTCCGGTGCAGGCGGGAGGACAGCATAACAGGGAAGGGTCTCGGCCTTACCTCGCAGCGGGTCCTAGAGGCTCCTCTTTAACAGCAGGGGCGTCACTTCATCCTGGGGAGGGAGAGAGAAAAGCCGGTTAGTCTTTCAAGGCAGGACGCCGGCAACCCCCTCGTGCGTGCCCTCCATCCCGCTGTGTGCCCAGGGGCTCCCTGACACAATGGGCCAAGGGGCTGATATTCCAGGACTGGCAAAGGGGGTCAAAAATGGATTTTGGATCATTTAAGTAGATTCCAACCAAAATTTGAAAAAGTTCAGGAAGCAGTGGGGCTGATGCCAGGGGAAATAAGGTCCTCGGGACACACCCCTAACCAAAGCGGGAACGGTCATACCCTACTGCACACACGTCTGCGGAGGCAGAGACAGAAGTCTGTTGGTGGCCGGGGAGCGGGGGACAGGGGCTAAACTGAGGGGCCTGGGACGGCAGAACACAGCAGCACCCATTCCTTCACTGTCTTCCCCAGCCCCTGGGAATAAAAATGGCACATGCCAAGCTGTTCACTACTGTAAGTAAGAGACAGAGGGCAAAGATGGGCCAGGGGCCACATCACCAAGAAGCCTCACCTCCCAGGAACAGACTATGACGGTACCTTCTACCTTGAGGTCCTACCAAGGAGACGAACCCACCCACGCCGGGGGCCCACGCTAGGGGCCCATGTAAGGAAAGGGACACGGTCCAACAACGGAGAGGATCTTTAGCCAACATATAACTCAGCCCAGCTTGCCAGGCTCAGATCCTCCTGCCCGGAGCTTGAGTTTGGAAAGACAGACTCCTGATGTGGATAAAAAGCCCAAGGAGCCCTTGGTCCCCCACCCCGACTCCCACCCCCACCCTCCTGCCCCGAGGCCTCAGAACCCTACCCCTACTCGGGAAAGACTTTTCTGTTTATTACGTGTTTTCCTCCCCACTCCCTCACTTGTGGCTTATCAATGATGCAAGAGGAATAACACCAATTTCCTTAGGCTGTGTAATCCCCAAATCAGATTGGGGGGATTGCAAGAGGTGAGGTGACCTTGTACAGGGCTCCCGGAATGCCACCCAGTCCTGCTGCCTGCCCTCTCTTTCCCAGGACATATTTAGACAGATAATGCTAATTGTACTTGACAAGTCCTCCTAAGGAGGGCTGGGTCTTCTGCCAGCTTTCGCGGCCTTTGCTGGGCTGCCTGGGCAGAGGGGCCTACCCAGGCAGAACCCACCCTGCCAGGCACAGGGCTCTGGGGGGTGCCGGGCTGTTGGGAAGGCTGCCCCCCACAAGGGGGGCCTCCTAGGCCGACCCACCCAGAGGGTGAGAGGCCGGGGGTCCAGCAGAGGGCTGGACCGACTGAGATAGGGGGCAGTAGAGAGGAAGGGGGAGGCTCTGAGGTAGGAGAGTGGAAAGAGCAAGAGGCCAGAGAAGGGAGCTGGGGGACACGGAGGCCGAGCAGGGCGGGGCTGCAGGGCAGGGGCTGGAGAGCTCGGCCTCGGCTGAGAGACTCTGGGCAGACCTGGCTGTCAGAACCCGGCCGCGTGTCCATCCCACACTTGCTGCCTGAGATCTCTCCGGGTGCCCTGGCCAGCCTCCCTTGAACCCCCAAAGCCCCCCAACCCCGTAACTCCAGTATCTCCCTTCCACCACCTTTTTCTCCCCTCCCATCCTCCCCTGCAACTGTGCATTTATTAATTCATGAGGCACTAATTAGTTCTTTGTTTAATTTTGTGTTAAACAGACTGACCGGAATGATAACGACTTGCAGCACGGTGTTGCCGTCCCCAACCGCCCCTGTTTTCTGACAACAAGGGAGCGAGGGAGGCCGGAGCTCTGAACCCAAATCCCTCAGCAGTTGCACTTCATTAAGTCAAAATGTGACAAGAAGCTTAGAGAGCAACTTGCAGATCCGATCGCACACAACAATCACAGGAAACTTTGCGGGAGTTGGCCCGGCGGGGGTGGGGGGGGAGGGGGGAGTGTGGGGGGAGGAAGGGGGAGGGGCAGGGATGCTGCCCGTGGGGCCCAACCGGAGGTGGCGCCTCTCATGGGCCCTGGGGCAGGTGGCCTGGCAGACAGGAGCAGCGGGGCGGCTGGGTGCGTTTTGGAACCCCAGGGGGAGCCTGAGAAGTTCAACTTCTCTCTTTTCTTCCTCTCCCCTACCCCCCCTGCTCCCAGGCATCTTCTCCTGTCTCTCTCTGCACCCCCACTGTCCCTGACGTCTGGTCTAGCCTGTGTGAGCTAGTGGCCGGGCACACTCAGGGCCCCGCAGAGGACCAGAAGAGCGCTGGGGCTCAGGAAGGGCTTCTGCAAGGCCAGGGAAAAGACACAGCGTGGGAAAACACAGAGGAGAGCAGGAAGCTCTAGGTTTGACTGAGAAAGAAAAGTAACGCGTGCTCAGGGATCATGGCCCATGCGTCTCTTCTCTGCCAGCTGTCCACGCACTGCCCCTCTGGCCCATCCACCCATGTGATGGTCTTTCTCTTAAGTACTCCAACCAGAAAACTGAGGACCGAAAGGTTGAGTTCTGTGTCGAGGTGCCCGGGAAATCAGATACAGAACCAGGTCCTGGAGCTCCCAGATGGAGGCAGGCAGCTGAGCTAACCAGGCCAACAGCCGGAAGACTGGATCCCTCCTGTCCATGTGAAAAAGCAGAAGCCTGGCCCCAGAGGTGCCAAGCTGCTAACCCCACTGGCCCGTGGCCCGAGTGAGGATGGGTGGGAGCACAGTCAAGCCAGCCCCACCCCAGTCTGAAGGCAGGGCCCCTGCCCTCCCTTTATACCGGGCCCTAATTTCTGCAGATGTGGACGACACCATCTGTGAATGAGAACATGGGAGGGGTGTGAGGAGGAGGAGAAGAACAGAAGTGCCCAGAGAAAGTTGCCAGTTATGTGCCTCATGTGCCAAGAGTCCATTGCCTTCTTCCCATTGGCCACTGCACGCCAGGTGCGGTCCGGCCCTGGCTGTGAGCGCTGTGCTTCCGCAGCCCGGCCGGCCGGCCCACGGGCCCCCCAGCTCAGCCTGGCCTGCCCTCGCCCGGCCAGTGCTGGAGTGCGGTGGTCTCTCCCTGAGCCTCACAGCCCTGGGCTGGCTTCTGTTAATTCGCTGTCAGGCTGCCTAAGCAAACCAATTAAAACTAATCATTAATTATAAAAGAGAGTGAGGAGAGTAGAAGAGAGAAGAGAAGGTGAACATCTGAGGTGGGAAGGAGGAGAGGGAAAAGGGAAGGAGAGGGGAGACCCCTGAGGGCCAGCAGGGAGCTCTGGGGAGGGGGCGGTAGCCCGGGGGGTAGGATACTAGAGGCTCCTCTGGGCCCAAGGAGTACTGGGGTGGAAGGAGGGCTGGATGGAGCCCAGAGCTTTGGAGAGGGGCTGCCTCCGGTGAGGGGGTGGAGGGACAGGCCAGGAGAGGAGGGAAGGGGCAGAGGGAAGGGTGAGGAAGCTGCTGTGCCCAGCATGCCGGGACCTGAGGAGGCCTCACCCAGCTGTAGTCCCCTCTGGCTGGAGCCACCGACTATCCCGGCCTTGGCTTCGGAGTGTCTCCCCCACAGCTCCCCAGCCCCATATGTATGAGGCTCAGCTGATTATGCAGCCCCAGGCCAGGCTCCTCGGCCCCTGCCGCCCCTACCTGCTTCCCCAACCCTCTCAGGCCATGGCGGCTCGGGGCAGCTGTCGGCTGCCCATCTACCCCCCAATGCCGTCCCCTGCCCCCTCCCCCATCCTCACACACACCCCTTTCACAGGAGCTGAGGCCATGTCAGCCGGCAGCTTGAGGAGGGGGGCAGCACAGACAAGGGGCAGTGTCATGGAAACGGGCACTTTCCCCGAGAAATATTCTGTTTGGCCTCCTTCCTGCATTGAGGAGCTGTCAGGAGCCTGAGTGAGAGCCACACCACCCCGGGACCAGGCGTGACAAAACCTATTTTCTGCCTCAAATTTGATTGATTAAAAAACTTTTTAGGAAAACCATGTTAAAAGAGTGAAAGAGGGAGAGAGAGAGAGAGAGTGAGAGAGAGGGAGGGAGGCAGGGAGGAATAGAGGGGGAGAAAAGAAAGGATGGAAAGTTCTGCCAGGGAGAGAAAGGCCGCAGGCAGGCAGGGGCTGAGCAGTTACCCCCGCAAACAGGCTGGGGGATGTGGGTCAGTGGGACAGCCGCAGTGTAACCAAGCAAAACGGAAAGGTCAAAGGAAGCCTGAAACTTTTACACAGTGGTTAGCAGGACAAAGAGGGGTCCAAGGGCTCTGCACAATCCAGCAGGTGTCTGTCCCCTCTTAGGGAAAGGGACCTACACCCCAAGGCAGGCAGGGGGCGGGCCCCCAGCACCAGGAGTCTGAGCAGGTTTCTGGATGAATTCTGGGGGTGGGGTGAGTGGGGAACTGATTTCCTAACACAGTCTGGGCTGGAATTTGGCCAGAATCCTGAAAAATCTGTACAGGGTCAACAGGGAGAGAGGGTCCAGTCGTTTGGGGGCAGGAAAGGGGCTTTCCCACCTTGATCTGTCAAGTCTTGGCTCAGGAAAGATGTTTAATAAATACATAAATGAAAATCAGGGAAGTTCTCAGCTGACTCCCACCAGCCCCAGGGCCTCTCGCTCACCCTCTCTGCCTTAGACATCCCCTGCCCAGTCCTTGGTCCCTTTGCCGGATGATGCCCTGAAAATCCCCATTCCTGGCTTGCCCTCTCTCTTCTTCCTGTCTCAGAAACTGAGGCCAACCCGGCTGGGTTGTGATGTGATCAGCCTGTGATGGGATGGGAGGCCCCTGCCTTACACTCTCAGGCTTCCAGAAGGGGAGCCAGCCTCCCCACCCCTCCTGAGACCCCGCGAGAGGAAGAAACTTTTCCGTTTCCCAGAGGCCCAGCCTGATCATTGAAGGCAGAAGTGCCTGAGGTCTTCCTGGTGGGGCCCATCCTCTCCCTACTCAGAGGGAACCAGCTCGACAGTGGGGTTTGCACGTGCTTCCCCATCCGAGAGCCTCGAAGGTCAAGGCGAGGAGTCATTCTGGCCAGACCATCAGCAAGAAAGTTTCCTGGGAGGAGTGCTCGGCAATGTCCAATCCAGTCCTTGCCAGCTCAGAGCTCAATGAGGGTA